CAAATCGTAATTTAGTGTACTGTATGTTGATCTAGTTAGACTCGTTCTCGCAGCGTACTCGAATTGTACTCGTTCTTTGCTTGTTTGCTTACTTATTATAACTTCTTGCCATATTTTCCAGGATCTAGTCTCTTGTATTTGTAATGGTTCATCTAATTCTGTTGCCAGATCCATCCAGTTCTTGAAAAATAAGGTTTTATTGCTTAATAATTTTTGAGTTACTATTTTTGTCAGACGACTATCCTTTAAAACTAGTATTCGGTTTATATATTTGAAATGTTGTCTCAGTGTGTTTATATGTAACGACGGTAATCCAGTTTCCAAATGTAACATATAGTTCGGTGTGTTTATTGGTAAATGAAATGCGCGTTTGATGTAGTTCCTTTGTAATTTTTCCAGTTCTTCATATCTCTCCACACCCCACACTTCTGCCCCATATGTTACTATAGTTCTAACTGCCGTCTCGAAAACTTTATGTTTCACCGCTGGACAGACTTCTTTGTTCCCTAAGATTTTACGCCAAGTACTGTTTACTGCCAATTTACCTTCTTTTAATTTCTCTAAGATGTGTTTACCGAAACATGTATTATAAGTTATCCATATCCCTAGATACTTAAATTGGTTAACCACCTCTATGTATTCTTCCTCCAACCGCCATTTTTCTTCAGCTCTTAGTTTTCTTGCGTATTTCCTGAATATCATGATTTTCGACTTATTAATATTTATTTTTAAACTCCACATTTTACAATATTCATTCAATTTATTAATCATTAATTGTAACATCCTTGGAGTTTCCGATATTAATACGATATCATCTGCATACATTAAGATTTTTAAGCCCACTCCACCAAATTCTATACCACCTGGTAAAATTTTTGTCAAGTCGTCTAGAAACAGTGCAAACAGCAAAGGACTCAAAACGCACCCCTGTTTTACTCCCATATTTGTTCTAAACCATTCTGATAATTTATTGCCATCCCAGACCGCAGCATTACTTTCCCAATAGAGGCTTCGAATCATCTGAATTATCTTCGTTGACAAACCAATATTACTTAGTTTATAAAACAATGAGTTTCTATTTATGGTGTCAAACGCTGCTTGGAAATCCACGTAAAAAACATATAGCTTCTTTTCATTCTTTATATACGTTCTTGCTACATTTGTCAATATAAAAATATTATCTATAGTTGAGTATTTTTTTCTGAAACCCATTTGATATTCACTGATTAGGCCATGTTCATCTACCCACTTCTGTAATCTATTAGCTATTACTGTAGAGAATATTTTCGCAATTGTGTTTAGAAAAGATATCCCTCTATAATTACTTGCCTGTTTTTTATCTCCTTTCTTAAAAAGTGGAAAAATAATTGATGATTTAAATTCTTTTGGCGCTGACGTGTTTTCGAATATGTGAGCGAAGACTTGCGTTAGTTTTTGTGTCAGCGAGGGTGTATTATATTATATTATATTATGTTATATTATATTATATTATATTATATTATATTATATTATATTATATTAT